TATGTGAGATGTGTATGATAAAACGTGATGTACTCCCTCTATTTTATATTATAAAATAATTTATTTTTTCCTAGTTAAATTTCTTTGAGTTGGATTAAATTTATAGAAAATCCAACAAATTAGTTTTATTAAATTTAAATGTTGAATAGTTTTTTTCATAGTATTCAGTTAAAAAAGTAGATTTTTGATAGTATTCAGTCAAAAAGATATATTTTGATACTATGTTTGTTTGTGTTAAAAACACTACTATGTTTTCATAAAAACTTGATCAAACTTAAATAAATTCAATTAAAAAACTAAAGCACCTTATAATATAAAACCGAAAGAGTATATAGGTTTGTAATCCCAAATCATGGGCTATTGTAGCAGGCTCACTTGAAACTGCTGCACTACCAAGATCATAATAATTAAGTTCTTGCTCTGAATCACATATTATTTAGTTAGAGATTCTTGTTTTAAAGTTCTATCCACTTACAAATTGTTGTGCCTGTATAATAATTTATTCATTTTTAACGTACCATAGGCTCGTAGATATAAGGCCTTTCACAGCGCTCCACGGTGGATCGGTGCTACACCCTGCCACGCATGAGTTTCGCTGAGGTGGAGGGGGAGACCGCGCCCACGCTTTGTCCCTCGTCCCCACACATAGCGACGCGGTACCTGCCCTTCGACGCGAGCACGCGCGGCTAGGAAAAGTGGCGACGCGTGCACTGTGGGCGTCGGTTCTTCCGCTCACCGTGCCCTCACGGGGCGAAATCCCCGATTCGCCCACGAAAATCCAATCCCGCCAACGATTTCTCCTCCCGCCAGATGCGCCATTCCTCTCGCGCCGGATTCACTAGCTACAATCAGCGGTTACTAACATATCACACAACCTGACCATTCACTTTAATCAAATGAGCAGAGCCATCCATTGCAATAGGTCAAATGACAACAAAATCATGCCACAGCTCAAATCAATCCCAAAATTGAAATGGTATTCGACTGAGATCCAAACCTTCTTGGCTGCTGGAGTAGATGGAGAAGCCACTGGCGCGGGTGTAGCTGGAGCCGGCTCCGCTTTGACCTTCTCAAAACCTGGCGGCACCTCCGGAAACCCTAAACCCCCCTGCGCTCCATCTGCTACCATATCCACAGCGTTGACTGCGGGATAGACCGACGAGCCGACGCTCTCCGCCCTCACCGGCGTCGGCGTAGATCGCGGGCGCGAGGTACCTGCCCCTGCCGCCGTTCCCCTCTTCTTCTTCCCGCCACCCCTAGCCACTCTGGACGGGGTATAGCCCGGCGGGAGCAGCACAAGCCCACTACGGAGCTCGATCTGCGTGAACTTGGGGCGGTCGTCCATGGTTCGGTCGGATCAAAGGAGCAGCGGAATGGGACGACGCGACGACGAGCGAGGGAAAGATGTGCAGCGAGAGGCGGGCGGGCGGACAGACGATATGAGATGGAGTGGACGAATCGATCTGGTCGGCAACAAGGGGAGGGCGACGGTGTGTGTGCCGGAGTGGGAGGAGGTGACGGCGTGTGCGGCGGAGTGGGAGGAAGCGCGGCGAGAGGAGGACGAGGCGGAGAGACGAGAGGAATTGCTGGAATCGCCGAATGGATAGGGTCGACCCTCGCTCCAGGAGGGGTAGGTGAGGAAAATTTCTTTGCCCCTCCCGTGACCTCGCGCATTGTTGGGTAACGCCCACTGTGGGCTTGGTACTCTTCATCAGTGTCTCTATCCACACATATATGGGTGCTTGCACTGTGGGGGGAGTATCTTTGAGCTGTGACTTTAGGCTATGGGTATGGGCCCCATAGCTTGCATTGCTATTGCACTAAATGTTCAGTTTAGGGTGCAAGCCACAAATAGGGCTTCTTGTTTGCTTGTCGGGGTCAGGTTCTACTTGGACTGTTGCCATGCAGTTCTGTCTTACGAATTGTCTCTCGCTCTGCTATGCTCTGTTAGGCTGTGTTTGCTAGGGGAGGATGGGAACATACACAGTGCACACGGAAAACGAAGTAGTCCATTAGCACGTGATTAATTAAGTATTAGCTATTTTTTTTCAAAAATGGATAAATATGATTTTTTTAAACAACTTTCATATATAAACTTTTTATAAAAAACACACCGTTTAGTAGTTTGAAAAGCGTGCGTACGGAAAACGAGAGGGAAATGTTGGGAACACCCCTTGCGAACAGAGTAACAGAGTAAAGATCAATGTGTCATCTACCGTATCTGTAACTCACAACATAAAGAAAGTCCGAAATTGTGAACTATTCTTGGCCCAAAAAACACTGAATTAGCCGGTTTCCTGCTCGATTTTGTGCAGACCTAGATTTTTTTATAGTAAATATTAAAAGTAAATTGTGATATACAACTCTTGTTTTCAATTTCATAAATACATTTGTACACAACTTTTGCTTCTACTGATCCCTCAGTTTTATATTATAAGTCGCTTTAACTTTTTTTTGTCAAATTTTTTATGTTTGACTAAGTTTGTAAAAAAAAATAATTAGCAACATCTACAAAATCAAATTAGTCTCATTAAATGTAAAACATTGAATAGATTTTGATAATATATTTGTTTTGTTAAAAATTTTATTATATTTTGCTCCAAACTTGATCAAACTTTAGAACATTGACTTAAAAAAAGTCAAAACAACTTATAATGTAAAATGGTTGGAGTATTTTTTTCATAAATATTATATATAACTAAATCGATCAAACCTACCTTTTTCTTTGACAATCTGAACCACTAGAATCTAACAGTGTAATTATTTATCTTTTTCTCCAATTAATGCAGAAGTTGCTATCCACAACAAACAAACATGGTGTCTTGTTCTTGAGTCATCTTAATAATATAAATGATGGATTATTCCGATGAAATTTAGAAGTAAACTTTAGCTTAATTCATCCCAACCAATCTGTACTACCTTCCTTTTTACCTATCATTTTGGACATCAACACAGTGTCTAATATACACTAGTCTCATCGGTACTTCTTTTAACTATATATTTACAAAAAAAAAAATATTAAAAGCATAGATATATGAAAGTGTTTTTCACAAAAAATCGACAAATAAAATTTCTCATATCAAACACTTATTTTTTGCATCAATTAATCATTTAAGGTTTGGAGGTTTGACTATACGCATTCTAGGACAACATCTATCTGAGAAAGATAATACTAGTAACCATACCTTTTTTTTTTAAAAAAAAAGGTGCTTACTTAGTATAATTTTCAGAGCATACATGGGTTCTTGGTTCAACCTAATTTATTCTAAGGCATATCATGTATACTATTTACTATACTAACATGGGTGATTAAGTGGTCCAAAACGATTCAGGGGACCAAAATGCTTTCCTTTACCTACCAACTTAAATGGCCCTAGTTAGTAGCACGTACTGTGTCCAAAATTCATCATGCATGTCTAAAAGGTTGTCATTATCCAGTCAATTGAGGGGATGATTAATTAATTAAGCGTGCGTTCATACAACCCATGCAACTAAGGGTAAGGTCGAAGAAAAGAATGGCCATGACAGCGAGGACCTTACACTCATCTAACTGTGCACCACACTCTTACTTAAACCCCCCTATTAAAATATGATCAGTTTGGTGATCATTGATCAAGTTATCATATATGATGCCTTTTGCCATGCATGTAATAATTGGTTAACCAAATCATGGAGTTTGATCAAAGTTGCTTTATAGTATATACATATAGCATTGCTTAGGAATCAAGCTGTGTGTTGTCTTTGTAAGACAAATCAAATGGGTGGAATCTATTATATAATTAAAGGAATAGAAAAAGGAGCCTCCACGTTCGCTCTCATGGCCTAGAAATTCTCACGTTAATCGGAGAAAAAGAAAAAGCAGAGTCCATATAGAAATACATTTAGAAATAGCTGAAATTTGGAATTAAAAATTAAGGAACATTAGAAGAGGAGACTAGAGTCCATATAGAAATACAATTTAGAAATAGTTGAAATTCGGAATTAAAAAATAAGGAATATTAGAAGAGGAGACTAGAGTCCATATAGAAATACAATTAGGAAATAACTGAAAGTCGGAATTAAAAATAAGGAATATTAGAAGTAGAGTATAGAGTTCATATAGAAATACAATTAGAAAATAGCTGAAATTCGGAATTAAAAAATAAGGAATATTAAAAGAGGATACTAGAGTCCATATAGAAATACAATTAGGAAATAGCTGTAATTCGGAATTAAAAAATAAGGAATATTAAAAGAGAAGACTAGAGTCCATATAGAAATACAATTAGAAAATAACTGAAATTCGGAATTAAAAAATAAGGAATATTAGAAGTAAAGTATAGAGTCCATATAGAAATACAATGAAGAAAAAAAGGAAATTTGGAATTAAAAAATAAGGAATATTAGAAGTAGAGTATAGAGTCCATACATGAATTTGAAACTAACTAAAATTCGGAATAAATGTGATAAAATTAAAAGTAGAGTTTAGAGTCCGTATAAAAATACAATTTACAAATAACTAAAATTCGAAATTAAGAAAAACATGGGAAGAAGAGTTTAAAGTCAATATAGGAATACAATTTAGAAGTAACTGAAATTTGAAATTAAAAATTAAAGAATATTGAAAGATGAGTTTAGAGTCCACATAGAAATACAATTAGAAATAATAAAAATTTAGAATTAAAAAAAAATAAAAGACGAGTCTAGAGTCCATAAAGGAATATATATAATTTATAGATAACTAAAATTTGATAGTAAAAATAATTAATAACTAACACGTATATAAAATACAATATGAATATTACACATTAGTAGTTTCGTAAAGTTATTGCAAAATTTAAAATTATGTTGTCATTGTAATATATTTTAATAATATAATGAGAAAACATATATGCTATTATATGAGAGAAAATATAATGATGCTAGCCGCGCAATCTGCGCGGGCCTCCATGCTAGTTAATATAATTAAGTGACATGCATTTTTTTTAGCATGGATCAATTAAGTGAATAACACCTCCAAATACCAAACCAAGAATTTCAAGTGAATTTAAGAGGAATCTCAGAAGAGATGATCATGAAGTTTATACAATGGTGGAGAGTACATGGATACATTGATCCCTAAAATCTTATTAAGATTAAGCAGGAAAAGAAGAAGAAGAAGAACAAAAAAGAAGCAAGCTATTATTACATCCAGCATTAGAGAATTAATTAACTGCTCCAAAAGAGCATTTACCTTGGGTGGACGGTAATTACACTGCTAATCTCCAGCTTACCACAAACACCCCAAGGTTAACTAAATCTCCAAACATTTCGCTACTCGCCCTCGTAGCTCGGCGTATATTACAACTCTACCCCTAACCTCAAAGAAAGAACCAAAAAAAAAAAGAACAAACCGAATTACCAAATTACCCCCTTCTAGAAGCCTCCGACGACTCCGGCGAGCTCGGCGACGCCGGCCATCGCCGCCGCCGCCGTCTTCTCGATCGCAGGTAGCTAGGCGCGGTCAGCACGCGTAGTACTCGACGAGCTCGTCGAGCGACTCCGGCTGCGGGTCGGCGTTCTCCAGCATCCAGAGGAGGTGCTCGAACAGCACGACCTCGCAGCCGACGACGGTGCCGCCGCCGCCGCCGCCCCCCACGCCGCCGCCGCCGGAGCGGTCGACGAGGTTCTGGAACATCGGGTGGCCGACGAGGTCGGCGGCGATGAGGTAGCGGCGGCGCGACTTGCCGACGTACACCGGGTGGAGCCCCGGGGGCACGCCGTCCGCGCCGTGGAACGACACCGACCCGCCGCGCCCTCCTCCTCCTCCTCCCCCTCCGCCGCCGCTCGCCACGACGCTGCGCCCCCATTCCTCCCCGCCGACGCGTCCGCCGCCGTGCGAGCTGCGCGCCGACGTCGACCCCGCCGACGCCGAGCACCCCGACGGCGTGCGGGAGATCCTGCTCGACGAGTGCCACCTCTTGATCATGCACTTGAGCTTGCTCAGCCCGCCCTTCGCCATTGCAACCACCACCACCGTACCCTAGCTAGAGAGAGAAGCTTATACAGTTTTAGAGAGAGAGAGAGAGGGTGGGAGGTAGACGACGGTGATGAGGGATGCGCGCGAGTGGGGGTGGCATATATAGGAGGGGGGATGGGGGCCACGTGGCAGGACGGGGGTGGGGTGGGGCCCAGGTGTCGGGGAGTGGGGAGGACCGTCAAGTGGGGCCCCGGGGGGAGTGTGGCCGCTTTGTCTCGGCGTGGTGAGTTGGACGGATGGGGGAGGAGAGGATGCATGTGTGGATCGCCGTTTGTCTCCGGTTGGCCGCAGGATCGGACAGCGCGAGGAGAAAGCGAGCGAGCCAGCGACGAAAAATGGTGGCCTTGTTTGGTGCATGGTGACCAGGAACAGAGTTAGAACAAAATAAGGAGGTGTCATCCGTTTTATTTTGGATCAAATTTAGGCTAATATCGATGTCTAAATTTACATTGAAGGTGGTATACATACTACATATGATGAAAATATATAAAGAATTAATAGTTGAAAAAAATTCTTGACCGGGTTCCTGGTACTCCCTCTCTTATATGTAGCTCTGTTCCTAGAGTTAACAACTAACAATAGCTGCAAGTATAAGGGGGTACAATCTCATTAATTAAAGGCACCATCGATTAATCCCTTTTCCATAAGAATTTGAGAAACTTTTTTTTTGGGAGCAATCTTGAGAAACTTTTACAATACACATGGGGGAAGAGAATGAGCGAAAAAAAGGGCTAAGTGATTTTTAATTTATTATCTTTGTCTGTAATGTTGTAAGCAACGAAAGCTTGACGGACTAAGCGAAAACGCTTGTACCTACTATAGCAAGTGTGTCGTAATCTTTCTTTCTTTTGTTGCTGTAGTTGGTATGATGTGTTGTCAAGCTGGTATCAATCCTCAGCAGAGAACCTTCGTATCAAACTTGTTATGTTTTCAGTAAAGCAGGGTCTTGTGTTTTTTTGCATGTCAAAGAAAAAAACCTAAAGGAGCCTACAACGGCGTTGATTTGATCAACAAAGAGTCTTGTCGATTCCCGACTAACATTTTCTAGCAACCAGCCATGTAGTATAAAATAGGCGGGTGAGATAAAATGGATGCGGGACTCATCGTCCACATAAGCTATTTTACATAGTAAAGATTAGTTATTATCACTATGCAATAACCTAAATAAACCGATAATCCTTCCATCGGCAAAGGCCACCTCTGACGTTTATCAGGAGAACTATTTCTGTACATAGAAATAAGAGCGAGCGACAACCATCAAGCCAGTCAATGAAGAACAATAGAGAGGAGCTAGCGACATCGTTGAGGGCAGTCAACAAATAGTCCTACTAGGGATCAATAGCTTTTCCGATGGTTTATGATAATCTACCATGATGCATTATTTATGCTGTTGACGAACTGGTGCCCACCAATAGCACTATTGGTGGGTATAACAAGAGCATTCAGAAACAAATTACCTCGTTCATTTCTATTTATACAAGAGGCAGCGATTCTTGTTAATTAGGAACGAAATGCAGCCCTCATATTTTTTTCCATCGTATGTTTGTATGCTAACGTCTCTTTTATATACATATGCTCTTATCATATACTACCTTCGTTTTTAATAGATGATGTTATTGAATTTTTAATCACACGTTTAACCATTTATCTTATTAAAAAATTACGTGATTATAATTTATTTTGTAAGTTATTTTATCACTTAAAATATTTTAAACATGATTTAAATCTTATACATTTATATAAAAGTTTCAAATAAAACAAATGATCAAAATGTGTTCAGAAGTCATCGGTGTTATCTGTTAAAAAGGGTAGGGAAGGGAGTATGCCAATTCTCTTTGCTGATTCAGACGTTTGTGGCATGTACTACCCATTAGCCATAGATTGCGTTATTTGGCCTTTGCAACCCAGCTGTCCAAAAGGTCGCAGCCCTATACGTGTCACACTTCCAACGCCCATCCCAATTCTTCAATTCGCAAAGGTCGTTAGTTACGTTAGTTCTGGTGTCTGAAAATTGTTTCTCGGTTCCCTTTACACGATCCAACCACCTTTTGCTTCGTCAGATCGCAAGAGCCAAGACTTCCAATAAAACAATAGGAGTAGAATATTAATATACTCTTAGTAATCTCATGATTATCGTGGATTATTAGTCCAAATTAAACATATTAAGGGAGTCAATTAATATTGCAATCTAAGTTTTGAGATAGTCCGACAGTGGCTGTGTGATAATCCAGTTAATTACCAAACTTAGAGGTAAAGAGAGCTCAGCCCTTTTACGAGAAATGTGTGAAATACCCTCACCTCGAAAGCTAGCTTTTAACGGTGAGAAAATTCCAATACGATCCCACACTTAAATTAGTTTGCATGCATCAATATTTCTCTTTGCTTTTTGGCTGTATATTTGTGAAGTACTTTTGGTTATCTGCCCTATATGGAAAGCATGTCACAAACAATCGTTTACTTGTCTTGTATATTTCCGGATTCATGTGTCAAAAATTAAAGAGTGCAATGTGACAATGGGAAATACATTTACTGCCGATGAACTTGTACCTATTACTCCCTCCGTTCCTAAAATACTATTTTATCTAGTCAAAGATAGATTAAGCTAAAGATTAAAAGAATACTATACCCTTCATTAATGTGAAGAGAAAATGAGGATGAAGAGAAAACGAGAAGGAGAAGGGTGTACTGTTGGTTTCATGACTAAAACAAGAAGAAAAAGATGAGGTAGTATTAAAGATGTCCAATGGATCCCAGTTTAAAACTAAACCTTCGCGAACCAAATTTTTAATCTAAAACAACAGCCTTCTAAGGAGTAATTACTCCCTCCATCCATAAGTATTAAATATAGACTAAAAAATAACTAATTGTACATGTTACGATTAATTTGCGAGATAAATCTTTTAAGCTTAATTGCTCCATGATTTGATAATGTGGTGCTACAGTAAATATTTGCTAATGACGGATTAATTATGCTTAATAAATTCATCTCGCGGTTTACTGACGGATTCTATAATTATTTTTTTATTAGTGCCCGAACACCTCATGCGACATCATATATAATAACCGATGTGACACGCCAAAACTTTACACCCTTGAATCTAAACACCCCCCTAAATACTTAATCTTTCTGCCCTGAGCATTAGCTACCTATATGCAGCTTGACCTCAGGTCAACTCTCACATTTGTGGTACAATTAAATGTGCAGATCATATGAGAAAAATGACTGTGGCCAATAAAATAAACATGCAATTAATTTTCTCCAACGAATCCAAGGGAGCCATTGACAATAGTCAAATCAAAGCGACAATATGATCGGAGCTACTTCTACTACTCTGTTTGCCCTATTATGTGCCAATTTATCTTCCTGTAACAAGCTAGCTATAGGTGATTTGACAAAGGCATCTAGGTCCTTTTAGATTCCTCCTAACCTCAAATAACTATTTTTTCCCACAAATACTTCATACCGCCATCATTATGTTGAAAAAAAAAAACTTCATGATCCTATAAACCATTTTTTCCCAATGATATGTACTTAAAAAATTATCGTTGAGTTCTACAACTTTCAAGCTCAAAGGTAGAAATAAAGAACACACCTACACAATAAATTTCTCTAATAAAATGCACAATATGCGACTGTGTGTAATAGTTATTGATGACATCAGGATTTAAATTCGGGTGGATATATAGAGCCATTTATTCACGACTCCACCATCATACTCTGTTTATGATTCTCTCTAGAGTCCACAATTATAGCACCAGGAGAGAGCGGTTGAAGGTGTGGTCGTCAAATCAAAGATAGTCCTGTGCCCTTTGTCACTTGTAGGATTTGATTCCCAGAAGATGACATTCATGAACGCTGCAATCATAGGAGAGAATACTAATGTCCTCCCCTGCTACATATATCTTTCTTTAATAAATGGAACTGCAAAATGTCCTTGAAAAAAAAAGGAACTACTAAATGGAACAATTAATTTCTGGGGTTTTAGTATACAATAATAAATTCATATGAATTATTCACCAAAAAAAATATTCCTGCGCCCTGTGCTTATATATTACGTACTATGAGTCCTGAATCCCTAATTCAGGACCTACTACGTGGCAAGAGCAAGATGAGGAGATCCAATATGCGCAGATCAAGCTATTAAATACCAATTAACCAACTAATCGGTGATTATTAAAATTAGGACCCTCAGTTGATTAGAAGTCAGGAAACTGTTCTAGCATACGACAAATATACATGCTTTCATGTCGTTAGTGCCTCCGTTTAAAAACTGAGGCACGAATATAGTGGTTGGCTAATCACAGTTTGTAGTAGAAAGGTAATAGACAGCAGAGTTCCAGGTTTTATGAACAGAAAAAAAAACTAAATTTCTAATTAAATCCTGAAGCGTGTGAAAGTTTGTCTAGCGATGACAGCAAACATCTATCTGAAATAGAAGAGTATGAATTTCTTATTATATTTTTGTTATGACATCAACAGAGTTATTATGAGATTTTCTATATGTAAGTCTTAAAACAAAATATTAAATAGCACAGAGAGGAGTAAATTAAATTGTAAATAGGTTAACCATATATGTATAGATATATGCAACGAATATTCAGGACCAACATGCATCTGCATGCACACATCCATGCATGTATGCACAGTAGTGGTGTAGTACTTTACCACTAAAAAAAACTACCGTTATGCCTTCCAAATTAGCAACGTTGGAACTTAAAAACAACACATAGTACAATTATGCTCTCAATTTGGAACCAGTTGTCTACGGTACATCCAATTAGTAGGAAGAACAACTTGTATATACTCCCTCCGTTCAAGTTTGATCGTCATATTTTGGCTTGACACACAGACCAAGGACAGAAAACGCACTTATCATCTTTCTAATCTACTCATTATTGCACTTACATCTTTCTAATCATAATGGCCCATGCATGCACGACGGAACCAATGATATGTAGCCAGCTGTGATTGCCATTAATTTTGCATGCATGCAACAAGCTTTTTTAGACTGCTCCCGAGGCGTCCGCGCGCAACCTGATTAATTTCGCACGCGAATAGGAA